TTTTCCAAGAATGAATGGTATTCATGGTGCAAGGATTTATTCAACACTCACACTCAGAAGTAATTTCAAAAAACAGTTAGTGCTCAATGCCATAAGCTTGCCCTTATTTTCACTGCTCAGACTCTCCAAAATAGACTCTAGGATCACTATAGGACTTTCTTGGCTTGTAACGTAGGCTCAGGATCAGGTGTGGTACATTTGGGTGCTGCTTAGTGACTTTCTGCCCTCCTTGACATTACACTAGGCTTTCAACCTCTTTTTGCCCTGTTTTTGCCATCCAATCGCTTTACTTTCTTTCCCTTTATTTTCTTCAACCACGAATGTGACTTCAGGCTTTGTAGCTCCTTTTATTTTATTGTTATTTTATTTTATTTTTATTTTAGATTTCAATATGTCCAAGGAGGGACCGGGGCCAATATAGTAGATTATGGGAAAGTGAGTTCAGGGTTTAAGAAGAAATGGTTTAATTTTAGGCTCAAATTATTTTGATCAAAGGGAGCATTTATTTCATTTGGTTGGATCCTTCTTTTAGGCGATTTGTGGACTTTTCAGAACAATGGCCTATGATCACTTCCTAACTTCTAGATTGAATTGTCTTAGCAGGACTAACCAGACAAGTTCTAGTTTTGCACAAAAACTGTTTGAACACTCAACGATTCTCACACACTCTTGGCACATAGTTCCATCATTAGGTTATCAGATTACCCAGTTCAAGTTTCAGCTTAAGTCATGCCATCAAGTTGGTTCATGATTATGTCATACTCAGAGCCGACACATTCAACTTATCGTAGTCTACAACTTCTAGAACACATCACAAAATTTGACATGTATCATTTTTCATAAGCCATCATGTTGCTTTCTTCTTTCATGCTTCTACACATACGATCCTAACAAATGCCGGTTCAACAGAAATGAAATAGTCTCTTGGGGAAAAAGAATACACGCAAGAAAACCCCAAGAGAGGATTAATGAGTTGGGTTATTCAGACTTCACCCTATCACTCACAATCCATTTACCCCACCCCCAACAAAAATAGATGCGATTGTCCCCAATGAATACAAAAACAGTAAAAGAAAATGGATTGGGGTTAAGCAAATCTGTGGCGCAAAGCGCCGGCGAATCATCAACAAGCAGGGGGGTCCGGTCTCCCGGAGCCCGCTGGAACAGTGGTGGTGGCACCCTCAGTAGTGCCCACATCTGCAATTATACCACTCTCAGTAGTTCTATCTATCAATCTCACCGCACCATCAGTGGTGCTCACAACGCCTCTCAAAACAGGCTGAACCTCTGCAACTGGGGCAGAACTCGATGCCCCTACGACTCTCTCACGCACCCTCCGCTGGCGTAACTACTTCGTTCCTACAATTCCGAGGCCCTCCCTAGCCCCCTTCTCCTGCCGTACGCTGCTTTTGTGAGCTTTCTCTTCCTCTGTGCGATAAGAATGGTGCCGCTTGCCTTTGGCATGTGTCGGTGCAGGCCCCTTCTCGGCGGTCCCACTGAATAGAGCATCTAGCACTGTATCATCAGCCAGTGTAGTAGGAGCAGCCTGAGTCTCAACTGAAGGTGCAACAAGAATAGCATCAACGTTAGTCCGGAGGCTAGCTAAATCAGCCTGCAAAGCAGATAGATCTGTAGCCGGGGCTGATTGGTCGAGAACTCTCAACTCGAAGGCATCAAGCCACTTATTAATAGCTTGGACCTTCCGGTCCATCATCCCCTCCATCCTGCGCTCCATCCTCGCCTCGGACTCAGCTATCGACTTTTGCATCCATGGTTGGATGTGATGCAACAGTGTGGCCATCTGAGCCTCTAACTTCTGTACTCTGGCTAATGGGACAACAGTAGCTCCTAATTGTGGTGTGGACCGGGAAGAACTAGGAGCCATACTAACTGTCTGGGAAGAAGAGCCTGGGACAGTGTCGGTATGGTCTGGGATAATGGGTTCACCGCCCTGGGCCTGCCCACTTTGTCTGCAAATTCGGTACCCAAGGAAGGTACCTCAATCTGGGGCTCTCTGCGAGGTGCTGCCACATTTGCCTCATCTCGAATAAGGCCGATGTCCAATGCCCCTGTATGGTGGACTAACTTGTCACAATGCCAGAT